ACACCCTCCTTTAGTAGTTTTTCTTAATTGGGCTCACCTGCCAATCTAATCACAGGGTGTCCGAGATTGTTTTCAGTGATCAAAAGAGCCCTGACACACAATGCTATCTATGAGTTAAACTGAAAAACAAAATATTTAATCTTTGTGACACCTAAATAGAATTTGCATAATAATTTGGAACAGGGTGTACATAGAGGTGAAACTCTAATGCAGGCCATAGATGGGTCAAAAATCGGCTGATTTTTTTCGGCCGAAAATAAAATCGGCCGATTTTCGGATCGTTAGTGGGCTATTTGTTCGGTCGTTTTTCTGGATTTTGGCCGGTTTTTTTTTTTTGGTAAAGTTGAAAAAAAATCGGCCGATCGGCCGATTTTTGCGGCATTAATGGGCTAATCGGCCGATTTTTTACCGATAAAAAATCTGCGCATGAGCAGTGACCTACAAGAGGAAGACAAAAAGAAGAAGAAGAAGAAGAGGAAGAGGATGAAGAAGAGGAGAGAAGAAGAGGATGAAGAAAGAAGAAGAAGAAGAAGAAGAAGATGAGGAAGAAGAAGAGAGATGAAGGAGAAGAGGATGAGGATGAAGAAGAAGAGGATGAGGAAGATGAAGAAGAAGAAGAAGAGGATGAAGATGAAGAAGGATGAAGAAGAAGAGGATGAAGAAGAAGAAGAAGAGGATGAAGAAGATGAGAAGAAGAAGTGGATGAGGATGAAAAAAGAGAGAAGAGCGATGAGGATGAAAAAGAAGAAGAAGTAGGATGAAAATAAGAGGAATTCCAGTCCAGCAAAAAGTGTCTCTGCAGAGAGCTCCGCTATTTCTTTGACAGTTCTCTGACAGTTCCTTGACATTTACAGCGGTTGCAACATTGTATCTATTTGTTTCCGAATAAAAACATCTGTATCCTAAATGGAAACAAATAGATACAATGTTGCAACCGCTATAAATGTCAAGGAACTGTCAGAGAACTGTCAGAAATAGCAGAGCTCTCTGCAGGGACACTTTTTGCCGGCTGTAGACGGGATGAAAATCGGCAGATTTTTTTTACCATTGGTGGTAACGTCGGCCACTTGAACGACCGATTGTTCGTTTTTGTAAAAGAAAAATCGGCCGATTTTCGACCCATCTATGGCCTGCATAAAAATTAGAATATCGTGCCAAAGTTCATTTATTTCAGTAATGCATCTTAAAAGGTGAAACTAATATATGAGATAGACTCATTACATGCAAATCAAGATAGTTCAAGCCGTGATTTGTCATAATTGTGATGATTATGGCTTACAGCTCATGAAAACCCCAAATCCACAATCTCAGAAAATTAGAATATTACATGCAATCAATAAAACAAGGAATGGACATAGAACAATATCGGACCTCTGAAAAGTATAAGCATGCATATGTACTCAGTACTTGGTTTGGGCCCCTTTTTCAGCAATTACTGCCTCAATGCGGCGTGGCATGGAAGCTATCAGCCTTTGGCACTGCTGAGGTGTTATGGAAAATCAGGATGCTTCAATAGCGGCCTTCAGCTCTTCTGCACTGTTCGGTCTCATGTCTCTCATCTTTCTCTTGGCAATGCCCCATAGATTTTCTCTGGGGTTCAGGTCAGGCGAGTTTTCTGGTCAATCAAGCACAGTAATCCCACGGTCATTGAACCAGGTTTTGGTGCTTTTGGCAGTGTGGGCAGGTGCCAAGTCCTGCTGGAAAATGAAGTCAGCATCCCCATAAAGCTTGTATGTGGAAGGAAGCATGAAGTGCTCCAAAATCTCCTGGTAGACGGCTGCGTTGACCCTGGACTTAATGAAGCACAGTGGACCAACACCAGCAGATGACATGGCTCCCCAAATCAACACCGACTATGGAAACTTCACACTGGACTTCAAGCATCTTGCAGTGTGTGCCTCTCCATTCTTCCTCCATACTCTGGGTCCTTGGTTTTCAAATCAGATGCAAAAGTTGCTCTCATCAGAAAAAAGGACTTGGGCCACTGAGAAACAGACCAGGTCTGTTTTTCTTTAGCCCAGGTAAGATGCTTCTGATGTTGTTTGTTGTTCAGGAGCGGCTTGACAAGAGGAATACAACATTTGAAGCCCATGTCCAGGATCCGTCTGTGTGTGGTGGCTCTTGATGCACTGACTCCAGCCTCAGTCCACTCCTTGTGAAAGTCCCCAACACTTTTGAATGGCCTTTTCCTGACAATCCTCTCCAGGCTGCGGTCATCCCTGCTGCTTGTGCACCCTTTTTCTTCCACACTTTTTCCTTCCACATAACTTTCTATTAATGTTCTTTGATACAGCACTTTGGGAACATCCAACTTCTTTTGCAATTACCTTTTGAGGCTTTCCCTCCTTATAGAGGGTGTCAATGATGGTTTTCTGCACAACTATCAGGTCAGCAGTCTTTCCCATGATTGTGATTCCTACTGAAAAAGACTGAGAGACCATTTAAAGGCTCAGGACCCCTTTGCAGATATTATGGCTTAATTAGCTGATTAGAGTGGGACACTTTGAGCCTAGAATATTGCACCTTTTCACAATATTCTAATTTTCTGAGATTGTGGATTTGGAGTTTTCATGAGCTGTAAACCATAATCATCACAATTATGACAAATCACGGCTTGAACTATCTTGCTTTGCATGTAATGAGTCTTATCTCATATATTAGTTTTACCTTATAAATTGCATTACTGAAATAAACAAACTTTTGCACGATATTCAAATTTTTTGAGTTTCACATGTGTGTATATATATATATATATATATATATATATATACACACACATACACACACACATATACACTACATGTTGAAATGCGTTTTTATTACAAAATACATGAATATTTATAAAAATACATTTCAAATATACTGTATGTCTTTAAAAATACAAATCTACATTTTTGGAATGCATTTACAACTATATGTTAACAGGAATTTTTTATATGTTAAAAAAAAAATCTGAAGAATATATTTTTAAAAATATATATGTATTCTTCAGATTTTTTTTTTACCTATAAAAAAGTCATTTTAACATATTTTTACATATATTTGTAAATGCATTCCAAAAATGTAGATGGCAAAATGACGTTTTTATAGGTTAAAAAAAATCTGAAGAATATATGTAAAAAATATGTTTTTTAAAAATATATTCTTCAGATATGCTGTATAGTGCAACAGACAACAAGGCTGCAACGTCTGGACAGGTAACATGGAGGTCTTCAGAGATCCCCATAAACATACATTTTGCTTTCCACAACAGGCCGTCTGGAATCACATGAGACGAGGGAACAGGCAGGCTTACCTAAAAATATGGAGAGGTTGCCTTCTTTCGGGAGCTTTACTTCTCAAGTGATTTTAGAAGTGCAGTGCAAGACAGAGAACATCACTTATCACTGCCCATATTGAAGAAACAGGTACAGTACAGTATGTGGACCTGATGACTTCCCTATTGTTTTCACTGCTGGTTTGAAGTCATGTTTTCTACACAGCACAAACTGAATAGAAGATGAACCTCAACAAAATAATATTTACCTTGCCTTGAATATACGATAATACAGCTATTAAAAAAACAAGAAACATGACTTACCTTCAGTGAGATGTGTCTCTTGTGCTGCTGTGATCTCCATTCACCAAAATCTTTCTCCTCTGACACCCCCCCCCCAACTGTAATCTTCCTGGGGGTATAGAGAAGAAAGATTTTCATGAAATGAGAACATGGCTCACAAGGGATACATCTCAGTGAAGGTAAGTCATGTTTCTTGTGCTGTTTTTTTTTTATTTTCGGTAAACTTAGTTGTTAGAGTACAGGGGAAGAGAGGTAAGAAGTAATCTGGATAACATTTTATTAACCTCTTCCCTTCCAGCCCATGTCGATAAACGGCTGGACAGGAGCGCTGCTGATGCGGAGGGACGTTTCTAAAAGTCCCCCCGCATCCATTGCCCGTGCGCACTCCCTGACACAGCGGAACACAGATCGCTGTATGGGACCTCTGTGTGAGGTCCCAATTCATGTGATCACTGATTGGACAATCACATGAATAGTAGTAAGCAAGATGTCACTTCTGATCATTGCTTACTATGTGTGAAATCTGTGAATGATCACAGAGGTCACATTGTGCAAGGCTATTCACAACAGCCTTGTACCATGTGACAAGCTGTGACCAATCACAGCTCTCACAGTATTTCTCAATGGCTGCAAGAATGCAGCCAGAGAAAAGGAGAAATAATTGCTTTTACAGCCTTTATGGGTGTAAAAGCAATCTCTGTAAAGAAACAAAAACAAAAATATTTTACTCACCCCCCCCCCCCAAGTAGTACAGTATGGAGACACTGTATTGCTAGGGTGGCAGTATGTTAAAAAAAACAAATAATAATATAAAAAAAAATAAAATAAAAATGTAAAAAAAAATTTTGAAAAATTATAATTTTTGGTTATAAACTAATTTGGGTTACCTTTTTTTACTAAAAAGATAGCTTAATACAATTCGGCCAAGATTTATGAAGAAAGATTATTTATTTGCAAAGTTTTATGAGAAAAACACCTTTTTTGCTAAATTTTTGGACTAAATCCCAGTGGTGAATAAATACCATCAAAATAAAGTTTTATCTGTCTCAAAAAAAAATTCTAAAAAATTCATATGGGTACAGTGTTGCATGACCGCGCAATTGTCATTCAAAGCGTGATAGCAGTGAAAGCTGAAAATTGGCCTGGACTGGAAGGGATTAAAAATGTCCGGACTTGAAGTGGTTAAAAGACTAAATGTTGTTAAAAACTACAGTTATCCTTTAGGCATTTTGTTTTTTTTATGTACTCATGGTATGCTGTAAGAATGGATGATGTAGAGGTTTCTGCAAACTCACTAGCCATTAGATCAGGTTAGGTCCTCATGGGGGAAGACCATTGTCACCACTTCATTAATTTTTAGTTGCTGCACTGCACATCTTATCATTGCTTTTTGCCCTTTTTTAGTGAATAAGGCCAAAAGTCACATGCCAGACGTTCTTACCTCCAGGAGGGGGCTTGTTTTTGGAAGTCAGGATGACAAACCCAAAGCCTTCATTTTCTTTGCGCTGTAAGACAATGTCATAAGCCTCTGCTGGTGTCTTTGGAGCTGCAGATACCTCAATGCGATTGAGCCTGGGAGAACCATTCAGTGCAGGAGCTGTATGCTGTGGCTCCTCCTCCTCTTGCGCTTTGTCTGAAATTTGCACAAATAAGTAATGAGTGCATTCTCTTAGATATCATAACGCTTCAAATTAGATAAATGCATTACCAAAACATTACTGATCATTATATATATATATATATATATATATATATATATATATATATATATATATATACTTATAGCGGTTTTAAAGTGGCATAACGTTTATGGGGACCTATTTAATAATAATAAAAAATACTATTTATTCTGCTTTAAATGATGTAATATCACAATTATAAAAGAGATGAGGAGACACATATTTAGTCCTTATTTTACACCCATCAGGAGCATACAAAGTGGAAAAGTAGGCATGCCATATGGGCAAACATGGCACTCATTACAGGAAATGACATGAGATGTGTGATGACAGGTGACGTGTCTTCATGGCTCTTAAATGGCCCAGTATGCAGATTATGGAAAAACTTTTAGGATGAGTATGGTCTGCCTGGTAATGGGCACTTCGTTCTTTTGTGTTGTAATACTGCCATCTCTTTCATGGGGAAGATTACTGGTCTGGTTATGTCCTACCTTACAAGTGAAGATACTACCACAGCAACATCATAATCTGTGTGTGTTGCTGTTTCAGAGTTCTCATATCATGTGCGGTAAAACATAAAAAATCTGTAACAGAACCCCGGATAGCAGTAAAAATCAGGTAGGGGATTTATCCCCTCTCCACTCCATTCAAAATTAGGAAAAAAGTTTTGGCTGGACATACAGTTGGCCAAATTTGATTTTCAGTACATGTCAAATTAAGGATGGTCATTAATAACCTGCATCTGTCCACAGAAACAGCAAACATATGACCTTATCACCTCTCGTAATGTAGATATACGCCAGGACAAGAGTCACTCCTTCCACATCGGCTGCTTATACATGTACTTAGGAGCACACAACCGTGCGATCTGTGACTGCATCCACTAAACACAGCAGATTAGAGTTCGAGGTACAAGTCCACTGTGCTTGGCCCTATACGATATGATCACTGTCTAACAATAAAATAGTAGTAAACAATGGCCGTCATTCATGGTGTAATTTTTTACTACTATGATTTGCTACAGTGATCACATGGTACAGGGCCAATCACAGCCACCCTGCGCCATATGGCAGCTGTGGCAAATCACAGCTATCACGGTAGTTCTCAGTGGCTGCATGTATGCCATAGAACACTGTCAGAAATGATAGCCTATACAGTCCTCAAGGACGTATAAAAGCAATCACAGTGGCATTGTGATTGACAAACACTGCAGTGCTCTGGTGACAGTATGTAAACAAAAATGTAAAAAAAAATACATACTGTCACCAAAAGAAGTGCAGTGTCACTATGGTGACACAGTACTGCTGTGGGGGTGATCATGTACAATGGCTGCCTGCTCTGATATCACTGTATGTAAGTGCCGCAGGCCATTGTCTCTGATCACCGCCACAGAAGTACATATACGTATATATACCATAGCTGGTAGACTCTATAACTTTCACACAGACTAAAGAAACTGCACTAGTTTGATTTATTTTTATCAAAGAAATGAAAACCCACAGGTGAACTACCAACAAAGGAAAGCTCTGTCTCAGACAATGATAAAAAAATTAGTTTGGGTACAGTGTTGCATGATTGAGTAATTGTCATTCAAAGTGAGAAGGTACTGAAAAGTGAAAAATGGCATGGACTGGAAGGGGATGAAACAGTTCGGACGTGAAGTGGTAATATAATCTGTATCACGCTTACAAAAGTGTTGCTTCTTCTTTTCCTAAATGTCCAGTATCCAGAGATACAGTATGTTGTTTACATTACGATAGCAACCAACTTTCCATCAGTCCACAGATTTGCCTTGCTCACAGCTTTTCATGCTCATTGTTACCTCAGCGGCACAAGTTTTCATTCTTACCTCCCTGCCTGACAGCTGTTCTCAAGTGCAGGAGATAAGCAGGAAGAACCTCTGTCATAGGAAGCTCCAATTTATCTCATATGTGGCATCTCAGCAGCCCGCTCTTTCCCTCTTTTCCCCAACAGTTGTATAGCACTGCACTGAATGCACGCATTTTATTTGTGCGACTTCATAAAAGAGCTTGCATCATCCAGAACTTCGAATCAAGCACAGTACCAATGATTGAATAAAATAAGGCCGGGAGAAGTAGAGTAGTGGTTCTCAACCTTGTAAGATTGGGCGTACTAATTTTCTTCCGAAACCTTCTATGCTCAAACAGTAAGGGATTATTTACTACTGCGGTTGCACTGTGTTGCGCTAAGACAGCCCACTTATAATGTAATAAAAGTATGGGAGTGCATATTTTGCATTGCCATACTTTTATTTATAATTATACATAAAAAAGGAATGCAAAACATGTATTCCCATACTGCTTTTGTAGAAATATAAACTTTTTTTTACCATTTTTTTTAGTCCATTAAAAGTCCATGTAGGAGATCATAAAACATTCACGTGGAATTGCAGGAAAAAAGAGCGGCAGCAGCACCAGCACCCTTAGAGCAAAGCTGAACTGTATATGAAAAGGAAGCAGAAGGGCGCCAGCCTAAGTGCATTAAAATAGGTATATCTACTTGCTGGCAACTCACAGCAAGTAGATTAAAAGAAGGCATGTCTCAAAAGGGTCCGGAATCCTGGGGGACGATCGATGGCAAGTGATCTCCACGCATACAGATGTGGAGCAGGAGCGGTATCCTGGTGCGGCTGACCACTGCATGAACTAGCGTGGACCACAAAATTGCGCCGGGCCGGATGTGATGTCAGCCAAGAACATGATGACATGGGTGGGTGGTGATGTATTTCGAAGCATCAGCTTCTTCTTCAGACCTCTGTACATCTGTATTAGCGGAGATCGCTTGCCATCGATTGTCTGGACCCTTTCGTGACATGCCTTCCTTTAATCTACTTGCTGTGAGTTGCCAATTGTGTGTTTTCAATAAATACCTATTTTAATGCTGTACTTAGTCTGGCGCCCCTCTGCTTTTAAGTAAGGATATAAGTAATCATACAAAGAATCCTGAGGATCCCAGCACCTCCTATCCACTTTGCTAAGGGACATACTCAGCAGGCTCTAGGCAGGTGACTCATAAGTCCAGTCTATGTGGTGCGAAGTGTCATTCATTATAGCAAGAAGTGGAAAATGGAAAGCCAGACGATTTTATTAAAGCAGGTAGAGTACAGAAAATACAAAGGCTTATATGTTCCGGCTCGTGGCCTTAATCATAGTTATTCCATTTGCCTGACCCTAAACAACCTGACAGACCTAAGACTACTTTTATTGCTTGTGTTTAGTAAAACATGTAATTCACATTCAAGACAAAAAAAGGTCAAATCTACAGTTTAAATGTGTGGCTTTTTGAGTTTGGATTTTCAGATTAGATTGGGGCAATTTTTCAGCACAAGCTTACTTACTGAATGTAATCGGGCAGAAAACCGTAAAAATGTTTGCTTACAACCACAAGATGTATGCTTCTTAATAAACAGAAGACAATTTCTTTGGCAGTGTATCCCATTTGTTTATGGGAGATAATTACATTGATGTTTTCTAAAATGTTCCATCTTCTGAAAAGTAGCGTAGACGACACCTTAAGGTTCCCACTGGGCTAAATCATTTCTCATCAGCAGACATACTGCTCAGAATATGAGGTTTGGAAAACCCGCTACATTGATTTAATCTGTAAGGCACTAAAACATATACTAGCCAAGAACAATGCATCACAATTCCTTTTATTGAACAGTTCACCGAAAGTCTCCAAGCAGCTTACTGCAGTGAGCAATGTAGAAAGGTCACAAGGAGAGCTTTGCCCAGAACAGAGAAAAAAAGGCAGCTTTGGATGAAAAGATGTTGTGAGCCAAAAAAGGGAACAATAAAACAGTATAAAAAATAGGGATAGTCAATGTTCAAAGCATACCTGTCCTAAATATGCAGAAAAACAAAGTACATTTCTACATTTTTTGGCTTTGATCTAAAAGAAAAAAATTATTTTCATATTTAAAAATTAATTTGATAGGCTTTTAATTAATTGCCAGATGGACTTATTTATGATCCACTCCAGAGTCACAGAAAGGTGTATGAAATAGGACCACTTTCAGTTAAACTGCTGCAGCTGACAATTTACCAAGATTCCAGCTTCCACTTGAAGCAATTCATTAAAAATAGACATCAACAGTGTTTTCTTTCAATGGGAGAGTTAAAGTTAAAGTGATTGTAAACCCTCACATATACCCAGTGAAGTGAATGACCTTGGGTGATACACAGAGATGAAACAAATCATCCTACTGTACATAAGTTGTATCTATCTGCAGTCTTCTCTATATCCGTTCAACGTGCTGAATTTATAAAGCTTGTCTGAGAGTTCACAAAAAGGGGGGTGGAGAGCGGAAATTGCACACTGCAGAGCTCAGTGGGGGAAAGCTCTGAGAGCTGTTTGGAGGAAAGGGACACACCTCCCTTCACACAGCTTACAAGAACAGAGTTGAGGCTGTCACTCTGCTGCAAGTCCCTCCCCTGTCACAATATTTCTCGTGGTGTCAGGAAAACTTGTCAGAAGTGACTCATGTTGATAGCAGAGGAACAAAGCAGCAGACAGAAATGGCACTTAGTTCATTAAGTGAGACAAATACACACTATATATAGATATGCTTTGTTCAAATTTCATGTCTGGGGTTTAAAGTGGAATAAAGTAGAAAATAAAGTCCTGCTAGATCACGTCAGTCTGGCTCCTTCTGCAGACATAGTAATGTAAAACATTAAAAAAAAGTGCCTATACGGTTTAAAATCTAGTAATACACTGTCTCACCTTGCTCTGCACATGCTCAGTTGCTCTCTGTTTTTTGGTAATGTGCCTAAAATCAGAGCCACCAGTGACCGATCTGCTGACAGCTCAAAGATTTGCTGTTCAGGGGCTCTGGGCCTCAGCAAAATGGCAGCCTCCAGCAATAAGAAACAGGAACAATGCTAGAGGCAATTTACAGCATACACTAATTTTGGTAGCATAATTACTAATGTATGTTCCTTGATATAGAACATTATTTTTTCTCAAGTTGTTATGGGTAAAGTTTCACTTTAAATTATGTGAAAACAAGGTGACAGTTATAAGCATCCCTGGTTAAAGTTTGTCCCAGTACCTTCCACTTTTGTTGGTCAGCTTGGTCTATATGTAAACATGAACAAATATAATAAAAAAAAGTGATGTGAAATGAAATATTGAATGATATCGTTACAAATATTAACCATATGAAGGTATATAATATTTTCTATTACAACTTGAGTTCCATAAACCACTATAATTTTGCCAACTTCTGATAACATTACTTAGCAGCCTATGGCATCTCAAATGAGGTAAACTCCATGTAGAATTACTTCCCACATATTAATTTATCCATGTCAGTTTGCATGAAATAGAACATATAAAAGGATACTGACAGAAAAGCCAGAATTTTGCTTGATGAACTTATGCCACCCTATATCTGAGTCTATGTGAGCCAACCACAATTCAGTCCTGGAAGCCTCCTAATCCAACTGTAGTATTTATCAGACCGCCTCTACTCAAGAATTCTGTTGATGTAGTGACATGGCTAACACCTGCCGTAATTTACCCATTGCTATATGTGCTCCATCATGGAGGCTCTCAGACTATATTTAGGACTGCACTATACAGAGGGCCATTGACAAGGTAGTGCGGCTTCCACATTTGCAACTAAAACCTGTTTTTAGTGAAAATTGTTAGATGTTTTTTTTGCTGGCTAGCTGAAAAGTGTGCTGCAAAAATATATTTTTTTCTTGTATCTAACATAAAACATCCCTGAGAATTCTCATTACTTGCCATTTTTCACCACTTTGAACAGTATTCCTTATTTAGTGTACACATTTTCACACTTAAAAATGTCAACACTTTTTGGATGACATTTATCTTGGGAAAGCACCATGTATCATATGCAGTGCTGTTTTTTTATTTTTCACTTTTTTTTTATTCATCGTATTGCAACTGATCTCCATTCAGCCTCTTTCAGCCACTTCTTGTCCACAAGTCGACAAGAAGTGGCTTCAATGCAGAAGCATTACATTTTTCAGGGTGGGTTTTTGGACAGTAACAATGGACCATTCCTGCACAAAAAAGACCTATCATGGTTGCCTTTTGTCTCTCAAGAAGACTGGTGACAGAGCATAGCATTGTCACCTATAACAAAAATTGATTGAATAAAGAACTTCATGGTAGTATCACCAGGAATAGTTTTAATAAAAGTTGCTGGCGTAAAGAGACTAAAAATTACATGTTAAAGGAAAACTGAACCTTTGGTCCATATTTACTCAGGTTGAAAAAAGACAAAGTCCATCTAGTTGTCCTTTAATGAATGCAGCCCATCTGGTCCAATACTCACCTTCATCCTCGATCCAGTGATCTTCAGTGTGTCCCCACATTGCTTCTGATAACATCTTCACTGGGTCCTCTTCAGCATGTGCATGCATGAGGTAGCCCCATTCATTTCAATGGAGAAAGTTGTACTCTGCAGGACCAATAGAGGCTGCCATAAGTACAGCTTCCCACAGATATGAAGAAGAGGACGTGGCATAAAAAATTTCAGAAGTAATATTTTGAAATGGTGAAGCAGTACAGTGAAGATTGCTGGATTAGATCAGGTGGCCTGCATTACGAGGGGGAGCTGGGGCTGCATTCATTAAAGATAATGGTAGTTTAGTGATTGGGTTTCGATCTGCTTTAATCTTGATGGAGAAAGTGTACTTACCCATTTATAATCTCTTTGTTCCTTTTTCAAACATAAAAGACGCCAAGTATCCTGTGGATGTCCTACAAAATCAAACTGAAATGTGTGGCTCTTTTGGTGATTTATTTGTTCAGTGATTTGTACTGAACTGTATCGTTGCTGTATTGTCTCCCTTAATATTGTAAAGTGCTGAGCAAACTGTTGGCGCTATATAAATCCTGTATAATAAAAATAATTTGTGGTACCCTTATAAGCAACATAAAGGTGGGGCTAATCGTTTCGTAAACTGCACCCGTATTGATGAGATAAAATTCAGAATACACACACACCAGAAACCAAATAAGCCATAAGTTTCAAAAACATTCTTTACAAGGAACGGTATATCAAGAGTCTAACCTGAGTAGAAGATCTGTCTTCTCACAGTAAGCAACACGTGACCATTACGAGCTGCATTTGTCATTAAATCGAGGACCTGCTTGTGAGACTTTCCCTTCACGGGTACACCATCAATACAGATTAGCTCATCTGCAGCACGAAGTCGCCCATCTTTTTCTGCCGCTCCTAAAGGAATAATGGCTCCAATATAAATCTGCAAAATAGAAAAGGAGGAGACCAATGGTCAATAACTTAACTGAAATAGACATGGGCTGTTATCACAGGTATACAGGGGTAGGCACACTCTAGCTATGGTAAAATTACAAATCCCATCATGCATCAGGGAGTAATGCCTGTGGCTGTCAGAGTCTTGCAAAGTCTCAGGGGATTTGTAGTTTCACCACACCAGGAGTGTTAAAGATGTCAACCCCTGGTATACAGAATAGTAAGAGAGACATTGAAATACAAACTTTTCGAACAAAAAGTCAATTCCCAAGGAAAGTGTAGACCTTGTCTATTTCACGATCAAGGGCAATATAATAAATTCTTAGGAAAAATAAATAAATATATGCAGAGTTTGTCTTAAAGTGATAATAAAGGTTCAGATTTTTTTTTTAAATAACAAACATGCCATACTTACCTGCTCTGTGTAATGGTTTTACAAAAAGCAGCCCTGATCCTCCTCTTCTTGGGTCCCCCGCCGATGCTCCTGGCCCCTCCCTCCTACAGAGTGCCCCAAAGAGCAAGAAGCTCGAGAGAACTGCACACTGAAGGTTTTTTACCTCCATACATTGAATACATGAACGTAGAAAACATTCAGGCATTAGAACCACTTTAAAACTGAACAGTAGACAGATATAAAACTAACATCAATTACTGAACTATATGTATTCCAAATTATTAAATGTAGATTACAATTTAAACTGCCTATATTTTGCTTTTCCTGCCCCTCCCCTTTTGTCGACCTCATAATGAAACTGTTAACTATAACCGGTTTTTTCATTACTTACCTTATCTTAGACACAGTGATATCATCATTGGTAGTGGGCTACTGGGTTACTGGGAGGGACTAGAACAGTGCTGTAAATAGCTTCCTGAAAACAAGAACCCTTAGCCCTGATAGAAAGTCCCTGAGCACCAAGCTCTAGATGAACATAGCAGCTGTTTGGCTATTTGCTGGAGTCTTCTACTAGGAGGAGGCTGATTGTCCTAGCTGGTCCAAGTGTCAGGACCTGGCTCACCTGCTGGTGGCACTGTACTTCCCTGGGTGAAAAGCTGCAGTTCTGGTGTCCACCAGTGGGTGTCTCCCAGCAGCCAGCAGGTTCCTGCAATCAGCTCCATCTGGCCCCAGCTGCTGCCAGGGTACCTAAGGTTTTACTAACACTCCTTGTGTCAGTGTTTTGATTGCCTTGCTTTCTGCCAGATCCATCCTGCTCTTGATCTATCCTTGCATTCTGTAAACGTACTGCTACTTGCCTTTGTTCCTGTACCCAGTCCTGATTCACACTCTTTCTTGCATTGCCCGTTACCCTTGGTTCCCATATTGTATATATTAGTACATACTGTATATAGGTTTCTGTTACAAAGGCGTTTTTGGTTGTGGGTCACTTGTTGTTTATGTTCGCTATTTGCTGGAGTGTGCATGTCTTTTTGCTTATTGATAAATGTACTTCATCGTACATTGTTTGGTCCCAGTTTCTTTGTGTAGCTACATTTATCTGGTCATTTATCTGGTCATCTCCTGTTCTGATTCCTGACACCAAGGATCTTTAGGAGCACAAAGCATGTCTACAAGTCTGGAGGTCTGGGAGATGTTAAAAACCCCTTAAAGGGAAAGGTGCAGAAACCTATTTTTCCATATAGGTCAACTCCTCCAGGTGAGAAAATATGGTGACAGGTGGTGGAACATGTGGGATTCACAACCATACATTTATTTGCTTAATTTCCTTTAACTGGCATGTTTGGGTTGAACAAACACATTGGACTTTTATATTACTGTGTTCATTTATTTCCTATGTTGTTTACTTTACATATATAATGTGTATATTAAGAATAAGTTCTGGCAGGCACATTATTATCACATTTATGTAAGCGATATCACAAATTTTCCAGCATGTAAGATATATTTTTTTTCTTTGAGTTCATTTATTATTATTTTTAATTTTCTTCAAAATATATTTGGCATTGGTACATACAATGGTTTAGTGGGGTTACATGGCACTATGAAAAATAAATCATTTATTTCCAGGTAACGTGCCTACAGTAGTAGCTAAAAGTACACTAAACTAATTAGTTTTCAGTTAAAGGAATTAGATATGAGAAATGAGCAGAACCAAGCTTGAATGGAGATATTTTGGTCCTGAGGCCAAATACAATATTGAATCTCCGCTCTAGAACGTTATGTAGATGTAAAGTTTTCATTTCCCAATAAACATATTATTTTGTAAATTTCAACTGTAACTCAGACTGTGTCTCTGGTATAGGTACTGCAGCTTAAAGCAGAACTTCACTCTCTCAATCAACATGGACTATTTTTAATCCTTGTGCTGCTAGCATTAGTGAATGGATAGGAAAGTATATCATATTTACTTGTTTTAGACTTTTTTTTTTTTTTTTTTTTACATTTCTTCAGTTACTTCCTGGATTTCAGGCCTAAGCAAATGTCATCTATCTGCCTGAGCTAAGGGCAGATAGATTCCAGAAAGTAAAATGCTATGTGAATCATCTGCCCTTACTCAAGATGATTCACCTACAGGAATGCCAGGGGGTGTTATCCAAAATGATTTCTCAGCAAAATAAAGCAGGGAAGCATGGATGGGGTGGGGGAGTTTGCTTTGAATATTAACAAAGAATTAAATAGCATTTTTTTTTTTTGTGGTGCTCAGATGCAATGCAGTTCCATTAGGCGCATATAGCGCTTGAGTGTTTGTCACTCATGGCATTGCAGAATACCACACATAAAACATAATACTGCAGTAAACTTCATACAACAAAAACATTCTAGAAAAATCACTCATTTACATTACAGAGAACCGATACACATCTATCTGGCAGACATAGTGGCAGCTAGTAGCTGGAAGTTTAAAAGTTAATCTAAGCTGGCATGTAGGTACCTAGAGATGTCTGATGTGTAGTAACAGAGACACTTAAAGTGTCTCTGTCATGAGAGAAGTATGGGGGCTACCACTGATGGTCTACTTGTGAAAATGCTAGTTGATGGACTGTGTCTGGCTCTAAAGTGGTTGTAAAATTTTACATACACCCAGTGAAGTGACAGGCCTCAGGTGAAACAAATGCTCCTACATAAGTTGAACCTGTATGTCTACAGTCTTCTCTTCTCTACATCTGATCAAAGTGATGAATTTTAAAACTCATCCCAGAGTTGAGAAGAAAAGGGGTGGGGAGCTAAGTTACACTCTGCAAAGCTCAGTGAAGAGAGCTCTGAGAGCTGATTGGAGGGAAGAGAGGGCCCCCCCCCCTCCACACAGCTCACAGGAGCAGAGATGACGCTGTCTCTCTGATGGATGTCCCTCCTTGTCACCATTTTTTTTTTAAACGTGGTGCTTTTTTTTAACCACTTGCCCTCCTGGTGATTTACCCCCCTTCTGACCTGCCTGCTGCATTTAAAAAAAATTGTAAAAATCAAATTTCATCATAAATTTACACTAAAATGTATTCTTTGCTAAAATAAAATCCCAATACATGTAAAATGGCGGTATATATATTGGGATTTTCTATTTTTACTAGTAATGGTGGCGATCAGCAGCTTATAGCGGGACTGCGGTGGGCATTCTGACACTGAGGGGAACTGACTTGGTGTCACTGACATCCCCAGTGATAACAATACAGTGATCAGTGCTAAAAAAAAAGCACTGACACTGTACTAATGGCACTGGGCAGGAAGGGGGTAAACATGAGGGGCACACAAAGGGTTAACTGTGAACGGTTTTACTTGTGTCTGTGTGCTTCACTGTAAGCAGTGTGCATGAGCTGACAGGGAGGACAACTGTTTTGTTTACAAGCAGTTCTCCTCCCTGTTTGAGATGCTAGGCAATCACCGGGCACTGGTGAGTACTGACCTGCCAGGACCCACTGATTGACAGCCACGGCCACGAATGGCAGTGCGGGTAGGGCATGCGTGCCCCCTTCCCGGAAATGTAAAATCACATATATATATATATATATATATATATATATATATACACGTGATTTTGCGCACCCGTGCCACCCTGTACCAGTATTTCTGCTATAGGGCAGTCGGGAAGTGGTTAACTTTTTTTTTAACCACTTCAGGTCTGGACACTTTTACCCCCTTCCAGTCCAGGCCAATTTTCAGCTTTCAGTGCTATCACATTTTGAATGACAATTTCGCAGTTATACATTTTTTAGCCTTTTTTTGAGACAGATAAAACTTTTTTTTGGTGGTATTTATTCACCACTGGGGGTTTTATTTTTTTGCTATATAAATGAAAAAGTCCAAAAAGTTTGGAGGGTGATGAAGATTTTTTTTTCTTTTTTTACACTGATTGCTTTTACACCCATAAAAGCTGTAAAAGCAATCATTTCCCCTTCTCTCTGGCTGCATTCCTGCAGCCATTGAGAAATATTGTGAGAGCTGTGATTGGTCACAGCTTGTCACATGGTACAAGGCTGTTGTGAATAGCCTTGTACCATGTGACCTCTGTGATCATTCACAAGTAGTAGCAATGATGTCAGGAAGTGACATCGTTTACTACTATTCATGTGATCACTTATTGTCCAATCAGTGATCACATGAATCGGGACTTCACACAGAGGTCCCGTACAGAGATCTGTGTTCTGGCACAATGGGCACTGATCACGGTGCCGCACGCTCCCAGGGAGCGTACACAGGCAATGGATGCAGGGGGGACGGCAGCGCTCAAAAGGCATGAGCATGCGGGCCAGACAAGAAAAAAAGGATCTCTCACTTAAAAACTTCCCGTCCGGCCCATGTAGATAAACGGCCGGACAGGAAGTGGTTAAGTGAGAGATCCTTTTTTTGCTGTCTGGACCGCGTGCTCATGCCTTTTTCCACTGACCTCCTGCAAAGTCTTTGATGTCATTTTGGAGTTTTCATACTTTGTCTCCCTGAAGAAGCAGGCTGTGTCCCGCGAAACTCATTGGAGAACTAAAGCAAAATATTTACTTGTATTAACTATGCCAGTTATGGAGAACAATAGCAAAGTATTTTCC